TATATAAAAGAGAAAGAGAGTGTATATATATATATATATATATATATATATATATATATATATATATATATGAGTACAAATTAGTTTAGTTAGTTTAGTTAGTTCGGTCCGTTTTTTTGTGTTCAAAAATGCATTTATTTCAAAACAAAATGAATGAACAGATTAATTAAAGTATTGTCTATCGCTAACTACTACTTTTTCCCATCTCTCAGGCAATTTTCGAATTCCATCTCGAAAAAATGACTCGTCTTTGGAGGCGATCCAATTTTGGAGAAGTGAACCGGTGACTTGCCAAATCGTGCTGCCAAATCTTTTGGAATAACCAGTAATCAGAAGGAGAAATGTCCGGAGAATACGGCGGGTGCGGTAAAACATCCCATTTGAGCGTTTCCAAATATTTTTTTACGACTTTTGCGACATGAGGCCGAGCGTTGTCATGAAGAAAAATAACTTTATCATGTCTTTACCCGTATTCCGGCCGTTTTTTTCTCGCAATGCAGAGCTCAAACGAATTAATTATAGCCGATACCGATCGCCCGTAATGGAATCGCCAGGTTTCAGCAGCTCATAGTAAACAACACTCTTTTTTGATCCTACCAGATACAGAGCATGATCTTCGAACTATGAATGTTCGGCTTTGGTGTTGATGTTGAGGTCGATGGCAACGATTGGTCGGGCTTAGCGTAGTATTTTTTCTTCTTAGGGTTGTCGTAGAATATCCACTTCTCATCTCCAGTCACAGTCCGATGCAAAAAATCTTTTCTTTGTTGCCTTTGAATCAGCTGTTCGCAAATGAAAAATCGCCTTTTAACATCTCTCGGTTTCAATTCATAAGGCACCCAATTTCATTGTTTTCGAATTATTCCTATGGCTCTTAATCATGCAGAAACGGCTTATTGAGTTACTCCCAATGATTCTGCAAGCTCCTCTTGCGTTTGACTCTGATCTTCTTCGAGTAATGCCTCTAATTCTTTGTCTTCGAATTTTTTTGGTCCAGAGCGAGGCTTGTTTTCAATGCTCCGTCCTTGAAACATCGAAATCATTCCCTACATGATTTATCAGTTGGAACAATGTCATCATAAACTTCGACTAGCATTCGATGGGCTTCAGCTGCACTTTTCTTCCAATTAAAGCAGAAAATTAGAACCTCTCGCAAATGCTGCTTGGTTAACACAAAATTCGACATTTCAAACACAGTAAAAATCAAGGTTTTTATATGAAACTCAAAGCGATATAAACTGAATATTATTAGCAGATGTCTAACCTCTCTGAAAACGCCAAAATCAGCTGTCACTATGAATCATTCACAACAGCCGGAGCCATCTTTTGGAAAACGGACCGAACTAATTTGTACTTCTATTAGGTGTACAAATAGTTTCCGCCGTTTGACAAAAGACGGCGCCACTAGCAAGCTATGAT